GCAATTTTTTTTATAGGCGAATTCCCTGAACTTTTGGGTAACACCTCGTATCACTGACAGTTAACTCCATGAAACAGAGTCGTTCCAGAGAAGTTAATAGTTGTTCAGTTTGTCAATAAATTTTCATTCTTTAATGGAAACAGAAAGTTTAGACCATGTTCACAAAAGCACGCCAACAGATCTCAATTCTGAGCTTTGTGAACCTAGTCCACACCTTGCTAACATATTTTCTTAAAATCCACTTCAATATTATATCCCCATCTGAGCTCAATGTTCCAAAAAGGTTTCTGCCTTAAAAGAGTTTCCTACGAAAACCTTGGCTGCATTTTTTGAGGAAAAACATATTACAAACGCTGAACATGCTTAGGACGGTAATCGGACGTAGGAGAGCGAGACAAAGTGAAGTACACGATTCAGGGTGTACATTACAAACAACTTTTGGACTTACGTCGATTAACGTTGTTACGATAACGAAGTATACTTGACTACGATAAGCTGTCAACGTGATAATAGCGGAAAATTATGCTAATGCATACTGAATTCCGGCGAAGAAACTGATCTGCCTTATGAAACTTCGTTTACCTCTGAAAGCAATCCGCTATAACAGGCTGTCGTCAAAAGATGACCAAATATAACCGCGGGCTTTACTTGTAACACACCTGGAACCTAACTCCAGGCGAAGTTAATACGAAATAACTGCAAAAATGGTGTAAGTTTGGAGGTTGGAGATGGACAAATGCCTTCGCTGTTGAGTTGTATTTGTCTTGACGTGTTAATGGGAACTGTACTTACCATTTTAAAATCCCTGTAACAATTTTAAGGGACAAATACATCACATTTTGTTCTATGCTAATGTCCTTATTTGATATAAATATTTTGTCCGCGAAAAGTTTCAGTAATATCTTTTCATTGAAAGTGAATTCTTGTATTTTTATTATTTCATATTTGACATGTAACATAGTTTTTGTCGGGTCACTGATAACTCACGGCTAGTATCAAATATCCGTGGAGAAATTTTTATCAAAAGTCTACGTTTCTAGGACATCACCATTACGTCACGACTTCAAGGTCAAGTAAGTTTCCTGCTCAGACAGTATCAGAATATTTGTGTGTTGTCTTATCCTGTGTAATTACAAGTCTTCTGATCGGCCGATATCCTGCACGCTTCAACTTACCAAACGTTTAACGGGTTTTCCTTCTAAAAACTAATCCATAGCATTTAATTTCTGAAATCTGAATAAGAATAAGAGCAGACCAACGTTTGTTCTAAAAACACCCGGCGAACTCGACGGAGAAGTGTCCTTTTTGAGAAGCCTACAGTACTCAGTCATTAAAAAGTAGCTCCTTTTAATGAAACACAAATTTTCACAAGGGCTCACCCTCTTTCCTTCAGGTGTTATTATTATTATTATTATTATTATTATTATTATTATTATTATTATTATTATTATTATTATTATTATTATTATTATTATTATTATTATTATTATTATTATTATTATTATTATTATTATTATTATTATTATTATTATTATTATTATTATTATTATTATTATTATTATTAGTATCGAATAAAATTACGTATTTATTTCTCATCTCTCCAATGTAAGGTATATATACTCCGCTCATCTCATCTTCCTTGTTTTTTCAACCCAAATAATAGTGGTAAACATTACAAATTAAGACGATCCTTATTACACCCGTATAAAAAACAGGCCTATTACAGGGTGATTCAAAACTCCCTATGCAAATACACACTCCTCAGAATGCGCACGTAGCGTGCGCGCGTCTCTATCACGTGACTATGACCTTGATCGCTACATTCCTTCAACCAGCTTTTACGTGCTGTAACCGGAAATATATCCACAATGAGAAAGACACAGTAATCTAAGTCACTCAAGCCATACTGAAATTTGAATTGTTGGCTGCAATTCGATACAGTTAATCTGATTAATAAACGCACAACACTGTTGTAACTACACGACAGCTCGCGCCAGACCGTCAGTTGTCTTGCAACAGTCGTGGTGTAAAGATGTCTTTTCACAAGTTTAAAGAGTGTTCACTGTCGAAAACCATCTGACATATCGTTCTTTCTAATCTTTCCAGAATGAATTTAGGGATACATTTCCCGATTCTCATACGCCAAACAAGTCGATAATATCTCAATATGTGAACTGTTCCCGTAACACACGAACTCTTAACCCGGTTTCATGAAACATACAAGGAAAAGACTAAATGCATGCATCGCTGAATGCTGTGGTCATTTTCCATCTCTTCATACAAATGTTTTTGTTCTGATTTCAGTGCAATTAATTTTTTGATAAACAGAATATGTACCAGGAATTGGTTGAGTGTCATTTTGAACATTCTGTATATTTGTGTTCCTTCAATCACCATGTAGACAGAAACTAATATTACGTTAAAGACATAAGTTACAGGTCTACTGTTTTGTATGCACAAAACTTGGCTCTTCAGTTTGTGACAGCAAAGTTCTGAGATGAATATTTTGATCTAAGAAAGGTGAAAAAGTAACTGGAGGATAGTGAAAATTGCATAATGTGTAGCTTCATAATTTTTACCTTCCGACAATATCATTACGCTGATCGATAAAGGTAGATGAGATATGGAACTTCCATTTTACAAAATTTTGGACCTCGTGAATGTTTTTAGGAAGTACGGATACATGGACTCGGAGCATTTTCGAATCCTGTTATCAGATTCTCGAAAACTCTGGGCTAGCACAGCCTTTGTGTGATCAAGTTACTGACCGACCGGTCATTAACAGAAACGTCCAACTTCGAACTTTAACCATGATATGAACATTGAACTACTAATAAACACGATGATGATTCACTTCAGACTCGGCACACAGAATATTCACCTCCAGCTGCGGTTTACAAGGCGATCTCTGGTTCTGACACGTGTCCTAACCAGTTCAGACGCTTCGATGGTGTTTCGTTTCAACTCTTAGTTCCATTTACGGGCAATATGGCAGCGTAGCGATGTGCTGTTTGCCAACAGCAGATAAATTAACAAATAGAAAGAATGTAAACAAATTAGGAAAATCATGGGGGGGGGGGGGAAACAACCGGCCGAGATTCAAACTGGCAACCTCTCGAATGCAGTTATAAAACGTTGCTGTTACGACAAGCTGCTAAGTATAGTTTACTGAAAATTACTGTGGACATCCGGGAGATTCACGAACGTAACTAGATTCACTGCGCGATGTTTCTCTTTGAGAATTTGAAGATGGCTGTCTTGTAGGAGTTCACCAACGTTTCAGAGGTACTTGCTGCCTCAATTATCAGGGCGATATTCGTCATGATGATGGATGCAGAAACACCTCGCCGCATGAGAATCTAAAATTTCACTTGAGAGAATATTTTTTTTAGAATCTCCCTGTCGTGGAAGGAACCACGATGTAAGTCCCCAAATGAACCACATACAGAGCCAGTTGAATCCAGATACAATCTACATTAAATTACCAATGTTCTTACTGGGAAGAATAAGTTCGTATTGTAGAGTATGGACGGTGTGGACTTCAGGTCCTCATTTCGCTTCACGTACTACTACGCTGTTGGTGAACACTAGAAACATTGGGTATTAAAAGTCCTTCAAACTAATATGTAACACCTCTTGATATAGCCTCTCTTTGACTGAACATAAAAATATGACGTAAAACAATTAATCAGCTGTAAATGTTCACTGTTAAATTCCTGATAGACTAGTATCGTCACTAATTTAATTCTGCGTGGCTCAATAAAACACACTCTAATTTATGACAAACATTTTAATCATGTCGTCAAATGAAATAAAAGTGTGTTGAGTAGATAACGATTTGGAAGAAAGTAATGTCCTATCTGAAGGTTCTACACTATAATACGCCTTTAAAACTGAGAAAACCACGAAAAAGTCGTTAAGAACATCCGGTAATGTGACATATTCAAAAATGGGAACTTGCGAATAAATGTGTATAAACTTCCCGCCTTTTATGGAACCAGAAGTTTCGTTATCATGTTGGCAACAGCCTGGTACTTATGCCGAACCCGAGTCAGATGAATAAATCAATCAACTAATAACCAATGTAGAGGTGCAACATAATAGCTTAGAGGACTTAGATTATTTCATGTCATATGTGAACTAAATACTGAGACAATGAGTGCTAATAATAGCATTAAACAAAAGCCCTGTCTATAAACCGCGTATATCATATAGGTCCAATGCAGAACGTGAGAATTCACAGTATTTACCAGCGTGGAATGCACAAAATCACATTCCGAGCCACGAACTGAACTCCACACTACCAGAATGGGTCGGAATGTAACATCTCAACGTTACTTAGGCCATGTGCCGTTTGTCTATTGCTTCGTTGCGGAAAGGAAAACCCGATTTACGGCAGCCCCGACTTATATTTCGTCTTATATCATCACGTGCAGATATACGACGTATTTTACGAAACAGCCTGTTACCGGCTTGTCTTTACGTCGACATTCTGACATGTTCAAGTATTTCATGGATCTTTGCCCATCAAACACTGTTAAATGTGGCTAACGAAAGAATACAATAAGAAAGCCAGAAAAATGTCTCCCTTTTAAACATTAGTTAAGGCAGTAAGTTTGGACACAAATAGCAGAATAAAATGGGGTCTCTTGCAATGTTTAATACCTGATTAAATCACATACTTTTAGTTATTTTTGTAAACATTTTGGGTTTATGGCTTGTCATAACGGACGTGGCCATCATATCTGCAATGTCCAAGTAGGAAAAATGACAAATTAAACTGGTCCAGATTTATATCTTACGTCTTTCTGAATGTTAACACTGTACATGCATGATTATACACAGACCAACCCTTGTTTTGTGAAATTCTGGGTTTCTAGTCCGTCATCACAAAAGCAAACACAACGGCATCCGAGTTTCAAGGAGGGGAATTTCGCAAAAGAGTTGACCACCCCTACAAATTCATATTTATTAAATGTCATTTGTTTTCAGCAACTTACCTTCTGAGTATGAAGAGAGACGACGTTTCTGTACTGACAACTTACGAACACAAAGAACTTGACTTACACTCATATAAAACACAATTTTAGTTCCTTCAAACCAGTCGAATGTTTTGTTTATAGTTCAACAGTTTACATTACGTAGTTCTTGCACTGTTTCTTGTCATGGTAACAGTCTCACCCTCAAATTGCAAGCTCACAGAAGGCAACCAGCGTCTGCAACGTTTGTAGAGCAGCACACAAACAACCTTGCTATAGGTCTTGTGGCCAGCGACTAATGTTGACCCGTAGCCACGCCTGCGCACTGAATCACACTAAAAACGTGTGCGTGCGATCGGAAATATGGATGCACTTCCGTCAGTTATACATAGAAGAGAGAGAGAGAGAGAGAGGATGTTCGCAATTTTCTTTAAGCACTCCTTAGTCATCATAAGTGTCAAAGTAAAGAAATGTTAATGTTTCACGAAAATTTGGAGGTCAGATCAATTCTGAAAGATTAAATATTGATTTTTTATTGTTTGTAGACATCATTTCAAGGTTCAATGTTCTGAAATGAGTTTCAAGATAAATTTTATTTTTAAATGAAGACGCAATGATGACAAAATAGATTTGATGAATTAAAAGCTGATTTCTTTTGTTTGTAAACATAATCTAAAGGTCAAGGACATGTTTGCATTTCTTCAAGACAATTTCACTAGGAGTGCGAGACGTTAGCGAGAGACCCGACAAAATATAAACTCGCTTCCCTTTAACTTAATATTAATCACCTTAGGACCTTCCACGGTAAATATTAAAGTTTCAGTAGAAGAAAAACATGGTCGTGATACATTGGGCAGATTACAAAGTGGTTTATTTTTCTCTGTGAACAAAGAATTTCGAAAATTAGGTTTAAGATAACTAAAAGCTAATTCCTGTTTCTGGTGGTTTGAATAAACTGCAATGCAATTATTTATGTTTCCTAAGAAAAATAACATGTTAGATGAAAAACCTGTCCACTTATAAATATAATCTCAGGGAACCACAGTCTGAGTAAGCTCCAATGCATGTATTAATTAATGTCCTTGAAGGAAAAGGTGTGTTAAATCCTTCGTAGTAGAGAAGCTGTTTTTCTGTGAACATCATCTGATGGAGCAGTGCTCTGAATTAAGTTCTGAATTAGGTATTAAGATTTAAGCAGAATAAGAACATCGAGCTACAGTAGACAAACTGAAAGCTGCTTTCTTTATATGTCTGAATAAGCTATAAATCAGACATTTCAGTAGAAGAATGATAATGTCGGGATTGAACCAACAATTTACAACCCGGAAATGGCTGGCTTCTGGGTTGTAGCGCCGAGTAATCTCGTAGAGATTACCAACGTTCAGTGGTCCTTGCTGCCTCCATCAACAGGACCTGATGATGGAGGGCGCTATAATCCAGAAAACCTCAAATCCTACTTAAGTTACAAACTGGTTTCCGTTCTTTTATAAACGTAATCTGAGGATGTGAATTTCTTAAACCATCTGACAGTCTAATTCATATCTCGCTTTCTCATTAAGCATTGCACATTAATCGGTGCTGACTAAGACTTTTCGTGATTACATAATCTCTCTAGATGAATGCCAGCATGTTATCTTAAAACATAAACAAAGAAAAACACGCACTGTTCGGCAAAAGTACGCATGTGGAGCTTAAATTTCGTACTTTTAATTTGGCTCGTAAGTACATGGGAAGTGTGAGCCTACACCGCAGGATATTTGCTGTCTAAAAGAACATACTTTTATTAAACTAAAAGCTATCCAACGACAGATTTAAGGTACTTCCGGATTCTGTTGAAATTTTCACGAATTATACTGTTATTTTATTAGGTAGTATATTTGCGTCATATTGTGAATTAGGTTAATATTTTAATATTTTCCGTCAAATCACAATAAAATATAAATAATAATAATAAAATATAAAATATTTAAAATATCATTTCACGTTCCGCAATTTGTAAATCGATCATTCGATGCGGAACGTGAAATGATATTTTAAATATTTTATATTTTATTATTATTATTTATATTTTATTGTGATTTGACGGAAAATATTAAAATGTTATTTTATTGTAATAGCGCTATAAATTTACAGAAAATTATAAGTAAATATTTTCCCAAGAAGTGAACTTTAAACAGATGCTTCATGGCTGGTTTTAGTGGTGAAGTTAAGAGAAAATACCTTAGGTCAACCGTCGGAAATCGTACTTATATTAAGACGCGTTATTAACATTGAACACCTTAAGGTAGTTTAGGTTCTTAAGCTCTGCAAAAGATGAGTATGAATTAAAACACAGATTTTTACAGGACATCGGAAGGTTTTCATGATCATCTTGTAGACGACTGCGTTTTCACCAGATATTTACGTCGGCCAAGGGATTGTAATTCAAACGATCCAAAGCCTTACACCCAGCTGTAGTTACCAGGTACACCCATAGAATTCAAAGACCTTGTGGTGGTCTGATCCACAATCTAAAGGGTTTACTGCTTGTCTGAAGGTTTAGAAACTCTCTGCAATACAGAAGGCTAAGGCTGGATTCAAACTGCAGCAACAAGAAGGAATTGCTGAAGAACTCTTGGTGGACGCCTTGCGATAGTCAGACTCCCATCCAAAAAGTTTACTGTTTGTCTTAAAGATTTAGAAGCTCCACATTACAGGAATGCGTCCAAGGCTCAAAGAAAATGCCACTGCTCAATTCTAGAAACCTAGTCATGTCTGGTGCAGATGAAATTTCACTACTCACGCCTCGCACGTAAGATAGCGTCCGTCAGTATGATTTGCCTCATAAACTATTCATACCATTTTGCTATGGTTTCCTGGTTAAAAATGGATACATAACTTAACATGAAGCAAGCATTTCATTAATAATTTCAACTTTTATTTGAAAGAATTTTCGGTTTTGTAAATGTTTTACGAAATACAATTAAAACTATGGGCAAAATACTTCGCGTGTGAACTATCATTTCGAGCGGCTTGGTAATTGCCGCGACGAAAGTACGGGTGACGTCATGCTGAAAACATTTATCTCAAGTTTTAGTTATTGTCAGCAGAAGATTCCAAATAATCGCTGTCGGTTTCCTAGAGATATAACGTCACCAAAGGCGTAGAAGTCGTTTGCTGATATCAGCAGAACCGTTTCATTCGTACGTCGTCCCAACATTACAGTTTAACAAACTAGATGGCTTACGGAACTCGAAGGTTCATCACCGAATTAACCAAAGTCCTCCACCGGTCCCTGTCCTGGGCCAACAAAATCCAGTCTCCTTCAACTCCTATCTCCCATAGATCCCGCCTGACATTATCCTTCCATCTACGTCTAGGTCTCCCCAGCGGTCTCTTCCCCTCAGGCTTCCCAACCATTACCCGGTGCACACGTCTTGTCCCATCCATGTGCGCTACATGCCCAGCCCATCTCATTCTTCTCGACTTAATCACCCTGATAATACTGGGGGAGGTGTGCAGACTTTTAAGTTCGTCATTATGTATTTTTCTCCAGACCCCATCGTCTTCTCTCCTAGATCCAAATATTCTCCTCAACACCCGATTTTCAAACACCTGCAATCTGTGTTCCTGCCTCAGAGTGAGAGATCGTTCACCAAATGTCGTGGTCGAGTGGTTGACACTCCTGTTTCGTATTCGGGAGGTCTCCGGTTCAAATCAGCGCCTTTCGTGACTAGGTTTAAACTATAAACAAATAATAAATTGTTCTTTGTTCACTGTTGATTGGCTCTGTCATCGATGTAATAAATGAAAATTCGAAATCAGTGAGGCCAAAACAAAGGAAAACAACTGAACGAGATGTAACCTGCATTTGAGGTAATTTCCCTGGATGGACTGAACTTACGGTTATTATAAGCTTTTCGCAGACATTGGTTACGTGACGTCTCATTTGGCAGACTGCCACGGACTGCGAAAGGCATAAAATGTCACGGTGATACCGAGAAAATCGCACAGATTGGAGTACGCAAGTCTGCACAACAATCGACCTGTCCACCTTGAACTTGCAGCCAATACCCATGGAACTGTAATAAACAACTTAGTGCAAGAACGAAACAGAATTCCACAGCAAAAGGTTTCAGTCCGTCCATCTTTGAGATGAAAGTCGGCCTATTCCTTTGTTTGTATCTTCCTTTTCTACATTTCTTCTCTTTGTTCTTCATCCTCATATCTTCCTCCTCGTCTTCATTTTATCCTCGTTATTTTACTTATTATCCTCTATCATCTCTTTCTTCCTTTCATGTTCTTCTCTCTTTTTCTAAAAATTGCTGTCTGGTTCGGGAAGACGCCCCTGAGAATAAAGACATTCAGTCCTCCATGACCTGAATTGTAAATGCTGAACTATTTTGGGGCCTTGATTTATATACCGGCCATGAAGTGCAAGTTATATTGCCAACATGTGGCAAATAACGAGGCTATTGCTAAGGAATATGACGCCTTCAGGAAGTAAAGACAAAGAGACACAGCGCCAACTTCTGAAAGTAAAATTTATACGGACAATGTGAAGACGGCCTTTGATCTTAGGTGCAATTTCCTGTGTGTAGCTTTGTAATAATCACTTTTATATGTTCTATGATTATTATTATTATTATTCGTAATCATAATTTTTATCATAATATATAATCACTTGATATTTTACTCTGTACCTTCAATTCAGCAGTTAATTCTCGTCTGCTGCAGAGATTTTCAAAATCCTTTAGAATATAAGCGGCATAACTCCCTCGATTGGGAGATCAGACAATCGCAAGGCCTCCATATTTACAAAAAAAAAAAGAAAAAAAAAAAAGAAAAAAAAAAAAGAAAAAAAAAAAAGAAAAAAAAAAAAGAAAAAAAAAAAAGAAAAAAAAAAAAGAAAAAAAAAAAAGAAAAAAAAAGAGAAACACACACACACACAAATCACATAGAGCCTAATGTGAGTTCAATTCGAAACTGTGTTCTGGCGATGATTGTTTGAGCTGAAGTAATAGTTTAACAATCATGAAATAAAGTGGCTTAACATGTAATTTAGCTTTGTGACCTTGATTTACATTTATGGTTATTCAACCACAAGTCACGTATGAAATGACTGTCACAGCAAAATCAGCCATTTTATAACCACTACGTCATTTTCATGTTTTAGGTAAGTTTCTTGTGCGGTACAAGGATTACCAACTTCTGGGCGCTTCTAAATAAGCAGAACAGAGGAATGAAATTTCCCTCACTATGAGTGAAGAACACAGGCTGATATATAGGGATGTTGAAATACATGGTGCCAGTGG